TGCGAGCGATTTTTCAAGTTGTCCGTCTTTCTTGAAAAATTCGAAGTGTTGCCAAACGTTTGATTTGTAGGTATTTTGCGGTGCGCTGTGTTTCTCTTTCTCCTCGACTTCCATGTGTGTTGATAACTGAGACTCTCGGCCTCCGTAGTGGCGAAGCAAAGATCAAAGATCGTCTCTGCTGAGTGCTGACAAGATGAGGGGATATTATATGAATGAATAGTTTTTTTACCGATGCAAAGACGCTACAATCGATGCATCGCGAGTTCAACCCAAACTGTAGCCGATGTGCACTCTTTCAACCGGTGCACTCGCATCTTGAACGTTTATGCCGGTGCACCGATGCGAATCGGTGAATCTTAACATCCCTAGTGTACAGTTCAGTCTCCAGGGGGGACGTGTCTTTTGTAACAGTGTGAATGAGAGGTCAAGTAGTAATGGGGCGTGGTCGGATATCACTATGGTTGAGTATTCTATGCTTTTGACAGCGGGAAGAAAATAGTTATCGATAAAAAAATAGTCGATTCTCGAGAATGTTTTGTGAACCAAGGAGTAGAAAGAAAACTATTTCACTTTGGGGTAGAGAAAACGCCATGGGTCCACACATCCTGTTTGACTCATAAATAATGAGATGGCTTTAGCCATTTTAGAGGGGGAGTCCCGTTTTGGGCTAGATTTGTCTAAAAGCGGGTCCATTGTACAGTTCAGATCACCGCCCAAAATCAAATGGTGGGAGTTTAGGTTGGGTAATAATGATATCACCTTTCCCATGAATGCTTCATCATCCCAGTTGGGCGCATATAGATTGGCGAGAACAACATTGACATTATTGAGGGAACCAGAGACTATCACAAAGCGACCTTGAGGATCCGCTATAACCTTAGTCGGGCTGAACTGTATTTTGTTATGCATCACAATAGCTGCGCCTCTTGCTCTACTACTAACATTGGAATGAAAGGTTTGGCCAACCCATGATGCCTTTAACCTATGGTGGTCCTTGGTGGTCAGATGAGTTTCTTGTAAAAAGGCAATTTCAGTTTTAAGATGTTTGGAAAATGGGGGAAATATTCTGCCTCTTTTAACTGGGGCATTCATGCCCTTAACATTCCAAGAGACAAGTCTTAGACATGCTCCACCATTTCCTGTCCTACATTAACCATCATCAAAATGTGACCCAGAAGTATATGAAGAGGTAGCATGGGGCCTATTTAATGGAAAGCAGGAGAAACGAACAACAAAAATAAAAAATAAACATATAGTAGGACCTAACACCCAAATTCCCCCCAAAAAAATGCTCTCAAAAAGGAGAGCCAAACACATATTCCCTTTCCTAAGCTTGTTCCGAAAACGAGAACTAGCAGCAGGACTCCAAAAAAATATGTCACTTCCGTATGACATTAACCTATAATCTAACTAATGTTCCTGAGCAGACAGGGCTCCTATCTTTACAATTGGTCTGACATGTAGAGTAAACAGTCTAGTGTTGTTTGTAGCCAATATAAAGTTAACCGCACAAACCAGAAATGAAACAAAAAAGGTTCCTAGCAAGGCTTGTTTCCCCCGGACCGTGCCTCTTTAACACCGGAAGTGGCCACAGTAAACATCACACAACAACAGAGGAAAGCTAGTGCACATGCTGGATAACAACATCCATACCTCACGGTGGATCCATATCAGCATATCTTAATACAAACAGACTCAGGTTAAACATTTCAACTTCACCCTTTCCTGAGATGTCCGTTTGTGAGTGTTCATTTGCCGTGCATTCAGTCCAGAGAAAGTCTGTGCTCCACAGCCTCCCACTACTCGGGCGGGACAATGCGTTGGTTGTAGAAGTCCTGGGCTTTTTGCGGACAGTCAAAGTAGTAATCGTCATTTCTGAATGAAACATGAAGACGAGCTGGGTGCAACAGGCGGAATTGTATTCCTTTCTGGTAAAGAGAATTCTTGATGGGGTTGAACGCAGCTCGCTTTTTTGCTAGGACAGTGCTGATATCAGGATACACTCTCAACTCGGTGCCGCCGTAATACAGCTTGTGTTGTCTGGCCCATTTTAAGACTGCCTCCTTTTCCTGGAAACGGAGAAATTTGACAATGAAGGCCTGAGGCTTCCCCGTGTTGTTGGAGTCTCCCGGTCTGGGACCGAGGGAACGGTGGGCTCGTTCTATCTCCGGAGGACTGCTGAGAACACCGGGACCCGTCACCTCCATTATCAAGTCAGACACAAACTTTGTCGGGTCCTGACCCCTCTCGCGCCCCTCGGGTATGTTTATTATCCCAGAGTTGGACCGCCTGGACCGGTTTTCGAGGTCGTCCACCCGCTCCTGGAATGTGATGGTTTGGGACTGTAGGGACTGAACAGCGGCTTCCATCACGGTGAGTTTCCCAACGTTTTCACCCACCACTACTTCGGTTTTGTCGAGACGGCTGTTGAACGATGCCACTTGTTGTCCCAGTGAGTTTACTGACCTCTCCAGGGAATCCGTTGATTCTTGTATCAGTCTAGCCATGTCGGATTTGAAACTATGACTTTGTTTGCTGAGAAGAGCCTCCAGGTCCCCCTTGGTAACCGGGCAAGCGGCAGCCATGTTAGCTGCTATCTTAGCCGCTGTGGTCGCAGCTCTGGTTGTTTGTGTGGTTGATGTCGATGGCTGTTTCTGTTTCCCTTTAGTCATTACTTCATAGTTCCCTTAAATATGAGCGTGGTTTGAATCGGTTACAAAATCGACTTTGAAAGGTATTTGAAAGGTATAGAAAAGTTTGTCAGGAGCCCTCCACACACACGTCTGCTCACTCCCTCATCAAACCGGAAGTCTCCTGTCTTTTCTTTCTAAGTGTAGCAGGATGAGAGTCCTAATCCCTTGTAAAGCATATTCTCCTCGTTTGGCTCTTGTGAGCATATCACCACCAGGGGGCACCCTATAAAAGGGCAGAGGTTTCTAGCTGGCTGTCTCTTGTTTGTTGGTACACAGACCCGCCCCACTTGCGTGTTTGCCGTGTTTGCTTCCGCCACCGGTGCAGGTATGTTGCAGTAGCATTGCTCGCTTCAGGAAAGGTTCTGCAATTTGCCAGCGTATTGATACTTAGCCCTGCTTTGACTCACCTAGTGGAGGATCCTCCCGGTGCAGCCTGTCAACACAACCATAAAAAGCGTGAAGCTCTCCCCTCTCGGCGTCATCGATAGGAAAGCCTGATCGGTATGTGCGCTGTACGGCGATCTATTTAGTCAATCCACCTCATTATTTTTATTGATATTAACGCTGTATTTGTATTTATTCATAAACCTAGGGCCAATCCAATGTTTAAGGGACATCTGCTGTTTTGCTTCACCGGAGAAAGTGTGTTTATCGGCAGTAACGTCACAACTGCTGCTGATCCTGCCTAAATGTTTGGGCTACCGCTACATAATCGTTGCTTCTGATTGCTGCTTCTGGCCAGCTTTGCGTCGCCTACTGCGGATGCTCGCTCACCAGTAAAGTGCTGCTTTAACTGTACGCCTTCCTGCTGCCTTGCTTGGGCCGACACTTGAAGTGTGGAAGTCACTGAACTCTGGCGCTAACTCCCTCTATAACTTGTCCTTACTTTGGCCAACTTGATTTAAACTAGCTTGTTTATTTTATTCTAGTTAATTGTTTATTTTGTTTGACTGAACCTTTTCTCTTGTGATTTGTTTTATTTTTAAATGTTTACACAATTGTTATTGTGGGGGAAACTTCTGTGTAGCAATGCAGTGGGAGTCACCGACTCAAAGGAGACACAGGGAGAGCTGGAGCTTTGATGTCAAACACTGATGGTTTATTTAGGAGCTTCGGCCGGAGAATTCACATCACAAGTCCAAGAGCCAGAGGTTCTGACTTCACGGTAGAGTTGCCATGTCAAATCTGAAGAACTCCCCCCCCAGACCCATGTATTTAGCTAGTTCTGAGAGAATAATCAACATTGTGCATAACAAGATAAAATCATAACACCTCTATCAGCTGACGCCAACAGGCTGGAACAGGGAGACAAAACACTGAGAGCACAGCAGCCAAGGTTACAGGTGCGTGTGCTCAGTCAGGACAGTATGAACTGATACACTGGGTCAAAGTTATGGACCTTGGAAAATATTTCCCCAACAGTTATCATCTGTTTATGAGAACATATTTGATATTGTGTTTGTTTATTACTTTGATTTACGTATTTTGCCCCCATTAACTGCGTTTGCCTCTTTGTTTCCCTACTTAGTTACTGAGAGCTGAAGCTGGTGGTGCTGGTGTCCAAGGTGGTGGTTTTCCTCCCTTCTTTTGTGTGTGATGTGCTCCCCCGGGATTTGATTTCCTGCACGTATGACTGGGGTGATTTAAGTTTGGTTTGCTTGGGGATCCTTCCACTCACTCGTCGACCCTATCCCCCCACTGGTAAGCCTCAGCCCCTAATTCATTTTTTCCCTTTGTGCTACAGCCCTGTGCGACTGTTTTGAACTACATTTTAACTATTGACTTGTGCTAAATAAAATTGTATATTTTTGATAAATTGAAACCACGTCTCCTGCTCCATTAGTATTCAAACCTATGTGTCCACTCTATAACTGAAAAAAGTGTTAATATTTCCTTGGGTGAAATACCCAAGGTGGCATTGTCGGAATTGTGAATGGTGTAATCAAACCAACTTTAACAAATACATTCACCTATCCTCCCCTCTGCGGCTACTGCCACATAAACAAAGCATAGAGATGGCATTTTAGATTAGGCAACTCCACTAAAACAAGGTATTTTTAAGCCCACAGACTTTAGTGATTCCTTCATCGAACTAAAATGTACTTAGAGATTAACTAATGAGAAGTAACCATGGAGCAGCAATTGGGTCATAACAAACACAATTCTGGGTGGTTCGTCAAATATTTCGCTGTTAATGTACCATACAACAGTGTAGGCAAACTGTGATAAAATGCCTCACTTAATCTGCTAAATCCACAGTAATTTCTCACAACTGTATCTATGTGTTTTGACAGGCTTGATTAGACCATGGATAACGGCAGCTTGGAATTGTTCGAAAAGGCTAACACATCTCTTCAGATTGAACTTCAATCCTGTACTACATTTAGGAACCAGGCTTCTCGCATTTTTCTGTATGCCTTCCTCTCTGTTGGCATTGTGTGCACAGTGGTGGGAAACTTTCTGGTGGTCTTGTCCATTGCCTACTTCAAGCAGTTGCAGTCCCCCACAAACTCCTTCGTCATGTCCCTGGCAGTGGCTGACTGCCTTGTTGGCCTGGTAGTGATGCCTTATAGTATGATTCGGACGGTGGAGGGATGCTGGTACTTTGGTGTCCTTTTTTGTAAGCTTCACTCTAGCCTTGATGTCATGCTCTGCATTGCCTCTATATTCCATCTCAGCTGCATTGCATATGACCGCTACTACGCTGTCTGCAACCCGCTAGTTTACTCTTTAAAAATGTCCAACAGTCGAGTAGCTCTCCTTATTTGTGTATGTTGGGCTGTTCCCATGCTCATCTCCTTTTGCCCCATAATGCTAGATCTTCATGTGGCAGGTGTGGACATCCTGATCCCTGAAGATTTATGCGTGTTCCTGGTCAATCGCATTTATGCTGTCATGGCTTCCTTGGTAGCCTTTTACTTGCCAATGGCTATCATGCTAATCGCTTATTGGAAGATCTTCAAAGCTGCCAAGCCCCCAGGCAGTGCGGGTGGGAAACATCACATCCTCCACCCTGATTCTTAACACCGGTGCCCCTCAAGGCTGCGTGCTCAGCCCTCTCCTCTACTCCCTGTTCACCCACGACTGCGTGGCCACACACAGCTCCAACACCATCGTGAAGTTTGCTGATGACACGACCGTCATCGGCCAGATCACAGACGATGACGAGACGGCATACAGAGAGGAGGTCGAAAACCTGACATCTTGGTGCCAGGAGAACAACCTCCATCTCAACATCAGCAAAACAAAGGAGCTGATTGTGGATTACAGGAAGCAGCAGGGAGAGGGACACGCCCCCATCGCCATCAATGGGACTACGGTGGAGAGAGTCAAAAGCTTCAGGTTCCTTGGGGTCCACATCACTGAGGACCTGACATGGTCTCTTCACACCACCACCATCACCAAGAAAGCTCGACAGCGGCTCTTCTTCCTCCGCAGGCTGAGGAGGTTCAAAATGGATTCCAGGATACTCTGCAACTTCTACAGGTGCACGATAGAGAGTATCCTCACTGGCAGCATGACGGCCTGGTACGGCAGCTGCACCGACCTCGATCGTAAGGCTTTACAGAGGGTGGTGAAAACTGCACAGCACATCACCAGGACGGAGCTGCCATCCATGGAGGACCTTTACTCCCAGCGGCTCAGGAAGAAATCACTACGGATTATCAAAGACCCCCATCACCCCAGCCACAAACTGTTCTTTCTGTTGCCGTCTGGCAGACGTTACCGCAGCATCCGGGCAAGGACAAGAAGATTCGGAGACAGTTTCTTCCCGCGGGCAGTGAGACTGTTAAACAATTGAACTGTTGAAACAACATCAAACATTCAACTGCTACTCAGTAGTATGTATCTAATACCTAATATATATATATCATTCCAATAACTTGTATATAGACTCATACTGCACTATTCCACATCATAACTTTATTTCATTTTTATAACTATTACTATTTTTGTATTGCTCTTGCTCTTATTGTTATTATGTTATGTTATTATGTTGCATTGTTGGAGAAGCCTGTGACATAAGATTTTCAACTGCATAATTACTCTGTAGCTATGTCAGATTGACAATAAAGAACCTTGAACCTTGAACCTTGAAGCGGCAGGCCAGGCAGATCAGCGCCATGGAAAGCCAAATGGCTTCTGGAGTTGGAAAGGATTCAAGCAAGATAAAAAGACACAGAAACACTATGAAGAGGGAAAGAAAGGTAGCAAAAACATTGGGTATCATCATGGGAGTATTCCTAATCTTCTGGATGCCCTTCTTTACAGTCATCATTGTGGACCCTTTTATTGAATACAGCACAGAGGTGGTTGTCTGGGATATATTTGTGTGGCTAGGATATATCAACTCCTCTTTAAATCCCTTCCTATATGGTTTCTTCAACCGTTCCTTCCGTAGGGCATTCCTCATGTTCATTGGCTGCAGGGTATGCCTGCCTGGATACTCCCCTTGGATGGATCTGTCACACACTAGGAAAGACCCAAATGAACGTGCAGATCAACAATGAATTTAAAGAAAGTGTCTGTATATTTTGTGTTGCCTTTGGTAAATCAAGGGCAATATTAAGAGTGCTTCAACTGCAAATGTTTTTCAACTTCTAGAAAGAAATATGTTTAAAATCAAAATAACTGTAATACAATAACAAATAATTGTGATGTGGGTCTGCTTAACTACCCCTTAATAAGGATTGTTTTAAATCACCTGTTTTTATTTCATGTAAAGGAAGTGTGCTCTGTGGTAACAACATTTTGATGTTCTAACTTTTGTTTTGCGTCTGTCACAAAGGATTTTCCTATTTCCACTTCTAAGTATTTTACCTTTGGACCTTTTTTGCAATAAATGTGTCATTGTCATATTTTTAAATTCAACCAGAAGTGTGAACTGCAGGAATAATTTGAAAAGACCTATCCTCTACCTGCCAGTCACCGTCCACTGTTTATGTCTGGGTCTAGGATATGAAAGGCTCTATCTTGAAGTTGAATCATTCATGTGTGTATAGCGACAATCAAGGCTGTGGTATGTTCTTTTTTCCCCTGCTAAATTTCAATAATAAGAAGAGAAGCTTTGAATGGAATCAGATAAGTCTAGACTTATCTGATTCCATAGACTTATCTGATAGACTTATCGTGACACATCACTATGGACACATGTGTCCATAGCGTTGGTGTTTTGATCAGGGGGAGCACAGGTTCAAACCCCACTGCAGTCAGCATGTCATTGTGTCCCTGGGCAAGACACTTCACCACAAATTGCTCCTGTGGGGATCATCCACAGTATTGAGTATGTAAGTCGCTTTGGCTAAAAACGTCTAACAAGTAACAAGTAACATGTAATGTTTCGTTGGGGGTTCCACCGGATTTCCTGCCAACACCATATCCTGTCCTGTTGGGGGTCCCGCCGTCACCTGCTCCGCCGGATTTCCTGCCAACACCATGTCCTGTCCTGTTGGGGGTCCTGCCAACACCATGTCCTGTCCGTCCGGGGTCCCACTGACACCAGCCCATGTCCCGTCCAGGGTTCCTGTCCGGACAACACTGGTTCCTATTCCGCCGGTGGTCCAGTCGGCCACGAACCCGGTCCGTCCTTGTGCCCGGCTCCCTAACTATGCCCGCGACGGCCTTAGCCACTTCTCTGCCTCTACCTTGCCACCGGGCCGTCCGCCCGAGACTCCTTCCTGGTCCTCTGCCTTGCCCCGGGCCGTCTGCCCGAGACCACCTCCTGTTCCTCTTCTTTGCCCCCGGGCCGTCCGCCCGAGACCACCTCCTGTTCCTCTGCCTTGCCCCCGGGTCGTCCGCCCCCGAGACCCCTTCCTGGTCCTCTGCCGTGCCTCCAGGCCTCCGGGCCTCCGGACCCCCTCCACCCACCCTTTTGGAAGTGTTGGACTTTGGTTGAACGTCTTGAATCCGTCCCTTGAGGGGGGGGTTCTGTCATGATCTTAGTTTTGTCTGTCTTGTCATGGGTTTTATTTTGCAATTCTGTTCTCCCGGTGTCTTGTCTTCCTTCCTGTGTTTTCCCTCCTGTGTCTGATTGTCTGATTGTGTTCACCTGTTGCCCATGTGTTTCTGCCTCCCCTGCCGAGCTGTGTCTTGTCCTGTGATTACCCTTCTTTGTAGTCGTCCCCTGTGCTCCTTGTCGGTTCATTGTCTTTCCTGTCTCCCTCCATGTTGGTCACTGTCAGTTTTTGTTTTGATGCTGCCTTGTGCTACAGTACCTGTTTATTTTCATTCATGTTTTTTCAGTCATCAGCTTTTGTTTAAATAAAGCTCGCCTTTTGTTCCTTGACCCTTTTGCCTTTTTTTTGTATTCTGCATTTGGGTCCTACATTTTTCCACGAATCCTGACATGATGGTAATCAGACACATAATAATATACACATAATAGACACTAAACCTATGTATGTTTTTCTGATTTTCTGATGTAAAGTATATATCAGATAAAATGGTATTAACCCAGTTTTTTTATTTATGTCATAGTTACAGTGCATAGCAATGGGACACGATACCCTGATAAGACTTTATATGATATGATGTGATATGAGGCATTCATTAATTAGTATCTAAGATACATCACATTTATGCATTTAACTTTTAAATGCAAAGTAAAAGTTGATTATATCTGTTTATTTATTTAATATCAGTTGGCAGGATTGAAGCACAACATTGAAGTGAAGCAGTTGCGTTAGGCCTGAGATTCCGGAACGGCCCTTTATATCATAATAAGACCCTTTTTGGTAGATTTTGGTCGTGATTACTCTTTTACAACATTAAACAAACTTGTGTTTATATTCCAAAAAAGCAACCTTTTAAAAAGATTTTAAAAAAGTAACACTATATAATTTAATTGATGCTAATTTAACTGCTAAGCACAGCGTCGGCTCTGGAACCGTACTCCTTGATCGGGGTTGGACTCTATTCTTCTCCGGAGTTTCCCAAGGTGTCAGGCACCGGGTGGGTATTCCTCACAACCTGACCAATTTGCTGCCCTAGGAAATATTTTAGCTGGCCTTTAGCTTAGCGGTGGTGACGTGAAGTCATGTGACCATGCTGATGATGAGTTGTGGTGTGTGTGTCTCACCTGGAGCTCCGCAACGCCTTTTTATAATCTGAAACACTGTCGCTGCACGCTCAACGGCTTTCATTAAAGATCACAGTGTTTCTGTGCTACATAGAAACACCTCTGGAAAATATAAAATAAACTTTTTAGTTTTGCTGTTTTGGATTCATAAATACGAGTAACATGACTTCCTATTAAACTGTGCAGCCTTTTCACTTTAAAACTATGATATTTACAGGCCAAACCATTCATTTATAATAAAATAAATGTGAATGGCAGGCCTAGTTCAGACTTTAGGGGGCATCACATTTTGTATAGTTTAATAATTTCTTTCTTGGCCCATGCTACACTCTTTTGCTGAGTTTCATTCAAAGTGTTTGTGTAATCCTACAGACAGACAAACCAAACTGAAAACACTGTCAGAGTAATAAGAGTCATGAAACGATCCGTAAAAACCAAGTTCATAAGGTTTTATTTAAATATTATTCTGGATATAATCACTATTTACAGCCTTAATGCATTCATACATTGAAATATAAGATATATTTTGCAACAATGCAGTTCATTGAAGCCTCAATTATAATAACATGATTTACACTATGGGTCAGGGGTATTTCTGTAGATACACTGCTATCCAGTCACTTCAACATAATCAACATCGTGTCATTTAGCATCCATTAAAGCGACTTTACTCTTATGAAACAGAGCCATAACCCTCTGCCGGACCTCTTTGATCTGCAGGCCGTAGATCAGAGTGTTCAGGGCGGGCAGCACCACGTGTAGCATGACCGCCGCCACCTTTCTGTGGGCTACCAGCTGAGGGAAGCGGTGCAGAATGATGATGATGAAGCCGGACACCAGCAGGATGGCGTAGACGGCCAGGTGTGTGGCGCAGGTCTGCAGTGCTTTTCTGTTCAGAGTCTTGTTCTTACTGCGCAGACAAACCATGGCGATCCTCAGGTAGGTGACCGTGACGCTGCCGATGGACGAACCCAGCAGGACCACGGTGTATCCAAGGCCGTAGATGTTGTTGATGAGCACGCTCTCACAGGACAGCTTGAATAAGGAGGCGTTATTGCAGGTGAAGTGGACCATAATCCACCTGCAGCGAGACAGACGCACACTGAGGCCGATGAGGATCCCCACCATGGGGAGGGGGATCACCCACGCCCACACGGACAGAACTAGCACCATCCTGTGGGTCATGATGGTGGCGTAGCGCAGAGGGTTGCAGATGGCCACGTAGCGATCGAACGCCATGATCATGAGCACGGTGTGAGAGGCGCTGGCGTGGAGGTGGACGCAGAAGGCCTGGACAACGCAGTCCATGTACCGGATGACCCGCTGCGAGTCCGGCGTCAGGAGGCCCCGGAGAACATGAGGGATGATGACGGTGGCCCCGAACACATCATTGATGCTCATGTTGCACAGCAGGAGGTACATGGGCTGGTGGAGGCCGCTGCTCCTGAAGATCAGCACCACCAGGCCAATGTTGGACACCATGATGAAGATGTATACGATTAGGAGGAGGATGAAGGAAGGAATATAAGACTGGGAGGGGATATTGAACCCTTCTAGGATCAGGATGTCTTTACCAAAAGTGCTGTTTTCCATAGCTTTATATCATGTAGCAATACAGACTTTTATATGTTCAAAGTTATATAGAGTTACAGTTGCAGAAAATCAAAGACATGTACCTGAAGATCTTTAAAAAAAGTCTTAATAAAGTTACCACACTGAATCTAAATGTGTTCACATCACAATAACAATGACTCACTGTAAATAAGACGCATACATTTGGTTATTTTTGTTATATCAGTTCATTAAATGGTTGATTCACGTAAATTGAAATAGTTCAATTTAAAATGGTATTTCAATATTGGATGAAGTTACACAATGAAGAGTTGTTCCTGAAGGTCGTTAGTTATTGACAGTAACATATGCTATTAGCAACAAAAAACAACTTTACATTCTCATATGTCTACAAAGTCAACATCTACACTGCTCCTAGTACTATCTATCTAGTTCATAAAATGGTTGATTCACCTTTTTTTTTTAAAGATTAAAATGGTATTTAAAGATTTGATGAAGTTACACAATGAAGAGTTGTACCTGAAAGTCGTTTCTACAAAAGACACATGTTTGCAGAGTTATTGACAGTAACATAGACACTGATTCTGCAAAGACAAAGTGTTAATTTTAAGCTCAACATAGAACAGGTTTCAGATCAGATCAGGAAAAAACTCCAATAACAACCTTGAAATGGGGAGAAAATGTGAAAGGAAATAGCAACAGAGGAGGGATCCCTCTTCCAGGACAGACGGATGGCAAACAAAAAAACACTTTACATTCTCATATAATGCATTAAAGTGATGGTAGAAACAAACACACCAACAAGACATGAGAAATGAAACTGTAGCTGGTTAAAATTGGGGTAAACCAACATTCAAAGGA